GCTATAGACTTTAAATTGTTTTATATTAGTATCAGCAAATATTGGTTTTGACTGAAAAAGTGCATTATTGGACTATCCTTATGCCAATACTCTTTTTGGTTGGGGGTCTGTCACCTGCTTGTTTTATATGGATATGTCATTGCTCTGCCTGGAATGTTCCACAGTATAACATTAAACAGCTCTACCTCACATTTTTTAAATTCCATCTTGTTTTATAGCCCAAAAATGCCTAAAAAAGGCATTCTGACTGTGAGCTGGGTTGCCTCTCCACAGAACTGATCAGTAACTTGGTCTGGTTTGGTCTCCATGAAGACAGAAAGGCTTAATATCATACTGTGAAACATTGCAGACAAAACAGTAACATCTCCACTGAGCAAAGCATTTGACGGACCTTCCAACAGAAAAGCTACACAGTGCACCTTTATTTTTTAGAAGTGGTTAAAACCCTAAAATTCACTCATTAACCACTGCCTTGTTTTCTTTTTGCAGAGACCAAGACCAAGCGAATGATCTAGACAGCAGCTCCAGTTGGTCCTCCACAGAAGGTACGTGCAGCGTGTCAGGTCATGCCTTAGTGAGCCTCTGACGCAGCAAAGATCTTTGTGTTTGGACCATTACACGGGATCAGTCCACACGCGTGTCAGAGCAGGAAACTCTCCCTCTCACTCTCTGCTTGTTCTGGCACAGACAACAAAGAGCTGCCGTGTGTAGTAGCAGCGGGAGGTGATTGTTAAGCAAATATCAGGATAAACGATTACAAATGAATGGATCACTCCTGGCTATGTGTTTTCTTGTTTAATGATTTAGATAAGCAGATGATTATAGTGCAGCAACAGGTGAAGTTTACATGAACTTTGAGCAACTCACATTTGACAAAAGATCTTCAACCAATTACATAATAAAATGGGGGAAAAAAGTGGATTGGATAATGATTAGTCAAAACTGTCATGCCTTTGTTTCAAATAGGAAGTGAGCATGGGCACGCTTCTGGCTCCATCCAATTGACTTTACATTAAAATTTGTCTCTCTCTCTCTCTTTAACTGCAGTGTGCCTCGTCATTTTGATCTTTAAAATGTTTGCATTAACCTGCTCTACATGGTGTTTTTTATTTTGCTATTTTATCCATAAATAATTCTTAGTCCTATTCCAAATGTGGACCTGACTTCAAATTCACCCCTGTAACCACTAGCAAACTTCATTTGAGTGGCATTATTTCATCATTCACTTGACACCCATAGCATTTGACGCTATGGGTCCGTTAGTCCACTTGTTTATACAGTCTATGGTCAATATATGATTACATTTTTTGAATATAGAAACTCAAACCTTGATTTTTAAAGTGCCCTCTAATCACCCATCCGTATAATATTAAGAATTCTATTAATTACTACCCCCTAGTCTTTTAAATGCAAAGTGAAAGTAAATGATTATCGTGCTTCTGTCAGTTCCAGCATTATTGCCCTTTGAAACCACTTATACACTTTACAATATAAAGTTCTTAGTCCAGTCATGTGGGGAGGAGCTGTAGTGAAAGAGAAAGTGTGTACATTTTGTTTGTTCTTTTGGTTGTCATGTCTCTGAGTCTGGCATTTGACGTTTGATGGTGATGGGACATGTGCCAGGGAGATTTGAGCGGAGCCAGCACTGAAATAACATGTGGCAGTGTCACTTTTGTTTGTGACTCTATTCTGAGCTCACAAGATGAACAGGATTACATCAGAATGAATGAGGCCAGACCGAGGCTTGTTGTTGAGTCAATGGGTGGCGTGGCTACAATTCAGATTCCTTTTTAGATAACTGCTATGGGAATTTTTATCAAATTAATGCCTTGTTGGATGTGTTGGAAGTTATTAGAGGGTGCAATGCCACAATAGAAACCAAACCATGAATTATGTTTCAGTCGGTCGATCTTTTTTTGTAGAGCCCTTTACAACAGACAAGGTGACCAAAGTGCTTTTTCAATAACAAAGTGTCAGATTTAGCATTACTGAGTGTTGAAAGTCAGTCTGAATAGATAAGTTTTGAGGATGGATTTAAACAGGCCAAAGTCTGTGATGTACATTTTCTCATTTAAGAAAAAAGTATAAAAAGTATAAATAATACAGCATAAATAATACAGCATATTTCAAAGTGCACAAAATCTAGCTTTATGAAAGATGATGTAAAATTCGAAATAGGGGTGGACTGAACAATATGCCAAAACATTTTATTACAATTCACGCAAACTTTTAAGAGGTTATCAAAGCTATGTGCTTCTTGTAAGAGTTCACACGTCACTCTCATTGGTCACATTCACCTGTCACTTAAAAATAGTTGGGAAAAGTCTCTGTGAGCATAGATCTGCTTTTAACAGAGACGCACTGAGTCACATTATGACGATTTCACCATAATAGCATACAGGGATCAGATCGCAATTCTCTTTTATATATTTATACCCCAGTCCTCTTCTAAATTACTGTTTATGTAGCAGTCTGATGTACATAGAACATTTAAAGTAAGCAGCAGTGTGCCAGCCTCTGTCCTTACATGACTTTGTGAATTAAATGGACCACAGAGTACACACTTTAAATCAGCTCCGCGTGTCGTCATAATAACCATGTTTTTCATAATAACCAGAGATACCGGGGGAACTCATTCCGTGTGCAATCTGCTTACTCTTCTCTATAATTTAGCCTGTTTAATATTGTTTTTGTCAGTTGACTGAAATAAACTTGTAACTGGTTATAGAGAAACTGTAGTGGTTATGAAAATAATTATATATTTTTGTGATTGTTAATTGGAGCTAATTTATCGGTGAATACAATCAGGTAACTCGGACACATTTACATTGTTGATATAGATGTCTCTTTGGAAATAATAATTACATGAAAATCCTCATGGCTGTTTAACCTTGGCGAATTTGGTAACATCCTATTAAAGGGCCCACATTACGCTACTTTCTGATCTGTTAAAATGTTGTTTCCTCATCAAAAACATACCTGGAGTTGTGTTCTGTTTCTTTCACATGTTTAACACACAAACTCTGCATATTTACGCTGAATTCTTTGGTCAAACAGGAAATGCTCACCTGTGTTTTTAAACTCCATACACCTTCCGTAGATCCATCTCGATAATTTCAGCCCTCAAATTGCCAATCTCTACTGAACAAACGGTCAAAATGTAGCTGTTAACTTGAAAACTACTACTACTACATGACATCCCAAGGTGAGCATCTTGAGCTTTGAGTATTCCTTTATTCTAGCCTGTCTCCATCTCTAAACATGTGTGAATGAAACAAAACACAACTCCAGGTATGTTTCTAATGAGGTAACTACGTTCTAACATGGCTTAAAGCTCACATTCATGTTGCATAATATAGGACCTTTAGATTAGTTTAGATATTGGGATGAAAGTATATTTAAATGACATGTTTCATCTCACCTTTATGTCACATACATGAAGATGCTTGGTTTGACAATAATACACATAACCTACCTCTTCAAATCTGCAAGTTTATCAGCTCCACCTTGTGGTTAAACCTGTGTCCGACACGCTGGGAGATCACAGTGGAATGCCATTACTGCATTTACTCCTACATACGTGGACAGTACACGAGGCTGTTGTGGAGCAGAGATATTAGCTGAAAGTGAAGAGTGTGTGTTGGAAATGGGCTGTGGTGTGTGACTGGAGGCAGTGCATAATGTGTGAGGATCATGTGCACACAGAGGACAGAGACGCTTTGTGTGGCTCCAACTGGACTCAAGGCAAGAAAGTTACAACTGAGAGAGAGTGCGAAAGAGAGAAAGAGAGAGATAGAAAGGAGGAGACCATATTGTTCATGTGGTCTTTGAAGAGTTTTAATGTATGAGAGCTGGTATTTCAAGCTAATATTAAGTTTTTGTCAAATATCAATAAATAGTAGTGGCAGGTAGTTAGTTGAAGTAGTAGACACTATATAGTCAAAAATATTTCATCTAATCTTTTTATATGAAACTGACTTCAGAAAAGGCTTGATACTAAATGCACTAAATTCATTTTAATAGACAATTGATAATTTCAGCATTAAACTGCAGTATTATAACTATTCAATTATAGAGTTTTTTTATTTTTTATTTGTATCTGTGTATAATTAAAAAAAAAAAAAAAAAAACTTTGTCGTTACCCATATAATGTAATGAATGGCAGCCAGGTATAGACAGGTTGCAGTCTGCAGTAGGGATGTAATAATAACCGATATATCATGATATTGTATCGTCAAAAGTCTCACAATAATATCATGGGCTGTCACAATATATTGAATTACAAGTTTCTTTGCTTAAATGCATGGTTTTATAGTAGCAACGGCTTATAAACATAGAGAACTACATATCCCATGATTCATTTCAGTGCAGACATGAAGAAATATGTTTTTTTTTTTATTGTTGGCTTTATGATGGGAATAATTCACACCAAAATCTTGTCAAGGTATTTTAAAAGCAAAAAAGTGCCCCATCTTTAATTATTAGCCTCTTCAAAATATTGTAATATCGTACCGTGAGATGCATTTCGTGATAATATTGTACTGAGAGATTTGGATATTGTTACATCCCAAGAATATGACAATAGATTTTGTACCAAATGACTGGTCAAAGCATTTTATAATGTCAGTCTTTATTATGTATAATATTGTAATATCATGAGCCTCCCCTCCATATCGTGAGCTTTCCCACAATAAATATCGTATCGTGACGATATTGTATTGTGAGACTTGGATATCGTTACACCCTAGTCTGCAGATTATCCACGATGAGGATCTAATCATTTTATATTACACATAGTGAGTTTACATTAGATATTGGTTGTCTTAGACATGACTGTGTAGAGATTTGTTTGCATTTGTGTCTTGTGTGTGACCAGTGTATTCTGACCATCAGGTTTGCTGGAATGGGTAACCTGCTAAAAGTCCTAACAAGAGAAATAGAGAACTATCCACACTTTTTCCTGGACTTCGAAAGTAAGTTTAGCAAAGTACAGTTCCACGATGGCCGCCGTTCGTCACTCTTTCTTCTCTCAGCTGGTCTATGGTGCTTTGAATGACACTTTGCACACTTCTTTAAACCTGTTTGTACTGTTTCTACAACACCTGTTTCTCTGCTTTGTGTGTTCACTTTTTAAACCTTTTCCCCTTTTCTTTCTATCTTTCTTTTCCTCCTTTTGCTTCCTTCTTTTTTTCTTCTTTTCCAGAGTCCAAATGGGGAACCTGTTAAAAGTGCTCACTTGCACCGAGCTCGATCAGGGGCCAAACTTTTTCCTTGATTTTGAACGTGAGCACTGCTTTCTGCTTCTGAATCTGCTACAGGCTGCGTTCATGTAATGTCATAATAAAGAGACACAAAAAGCAAATGTCTCTCGATCTGTTTTCAGCTCAGTATCTGTGCAATTACTACAAAGATTATTAGTCATTAAAATTGGGGAAAAAAGGTACTGTCAGCAGAAATTTGTTTAGAATTCAATGGCAAATCTGATAATAATAGCTTCCAAAAAATGTGATAGTAGGGCTGTGCAGTTAATCAAATTTTCAGTCATTTCTAATTCTCATTGATCTGCATTGATCATTTAAATCTGTAGGCCTACAGCTGATCCTTGGTCAGTAAAAGCATAAAAGCCCTATAATCCTCATAGCCCCATTGACAATATTCAATTACAGAGGCATTAGAGCGTGAACAGACATCGAAGGCAAGGCAAGATAGCACAGATTGTACACAAAGCAATTCAGAGTTCTTTACAGAATAAGAAAAACTTTAAAATTACAATATAAATATTCATCATACAATTAACATTACAAAGGAATAGGACCATAACATCAATTAACCAAACCCAGGCTCAAAACAGTTTTTATTCTGCGCTCTTCTAACTCCTTGCAAAAATTATCTGCTGAATTATTTGAATATTTTTGTAAAAACTATGCCTTTGCCCCACGTAAACATCAATAATTGCCCCATAGCTGTCCTCAATCATCAATTTGTAGCTCCTGAACGCAGCCTGTTTTTCCTCCATTCCTCTGTTTGGCACCGGTCAAGGGTTCAGCCCATTCTGCAGTTCAATAGTGCTCCTTCTTCTCTTTAATGGCTATTGGCTGCTGTGAAGCCTGCTATTATAGTTTGTGATTGATTTTTGTAACTTGATTTGGGCGATGCCAAATTTATAAAAAATGGAGTTGACCCTTGATCTTAGCCTCTTGCATGACCTTTGGAATCTGAGCTGTGTGTGTATATGTTTCCTAAAATGTTTGAAAATGTTTAATATGGTTATAGTGAATACAAAAATGTTAAAAATTGTGCTTGTACAGTTGTTCATTCTGGAATTAGAAACCATGTGTTGAATCACATTTCGTTCTGTCAGTAGAAAAACACAGCCCACCTCCAGAATGGCATTTCAGCTGTTCTCATTACAATGGGTGCAGCGATTCTCAAAACTTGCCTCTTGAACTCCTCTGCTTTAGGTCTACAATTCCATCCTCAATGCTTCCAGTAGATGTCTGCTAAAGCTATTGAGACATCAGTTTTACCTTTCTTTTCCTCTGTATTAATTAGTTTATTATACAGTTTAAAGGTGCACTGCGTAATATTTCTAGTGGAGAGTCCGCAACCTGATGGAAATGTTTTTTCTTTGTCTTAAATGTTCCACAGTACAGATTAAACCTACCTATCATGAGAAAGACAAGCAGGTTACAGCACTACGCTACATTACAGTTCAGATCTGTGGAGAGTCTCCCCTATTCACAGAAGGAATTATTGTATTTTTGAGCAATAGAAACACTTGTAATGAATAAATGCTAGATGAATATGGTTAAAGTCTTGCCATGGAATATTCCAGGCAAATCAATAACATCTCCATAGAGACAAGCCGGTAGCGTACCCTCCACCAGAAAAGTTGCGAAGTGCACCTTTAGCACAATTATACATTTGCTGTTTTTCTATTATTACTTTTATGATAACAAGTAGCAAAAGCTATTAGTAGTATGTCCCAATTTATGTCAGTGGAAAACACTGTAATCTCACTTCTGTAGACATGGAGGAATTTATGAGATTTAAGGAGACAAGTTAAGAGAATTAATTACGGTATACACCAAATTTCATGTATTGTTGGTTAGATTTTTATTTTATTTCCCTATTTAAACAATAAAGATATTTATAGTCATGACTGCTAATATGTGTTTTTCTGTTTGTGTCAGATGCCCAGCCGACAGATGCAGAGCGTGAGGTGTGGGACCAGGTAGACTCGGTGCTGCAGGAGTCTGAGAGCATCCTGTCGGGGCTGCAGTCGTATAAAGGAGCAGGACAGGAGATCAGAGATGTAAGGAAAACTGATCTAAAGTTATGATACAAAATATAATTGAAGCAAGGCGATATGGTATAAAATGTATGATCTGTTGTTATCACAGATTTCTTTTTTGTAATTGACGATTGCCCCTTAGGCTGCTTAAGCGTGGCTATGATAGGACATATTTGTTTCGAGCCATTTAAGTTAAAGCTATAACTTCTGCTTTCACTCTTTGTGTCTTATCTCTTTCATTGTTAAGAAATAGCTTTAGCTGTAGCAATCTCTGTCTGCCTGCTCACATGTAGGTGCTTGTGCTGTTCAATAAGAGTCTAAGTTGTGTGTTGTGTCCAGGCCATTCAAAACCCCAATGACCTCATGCACCAGGAGCGGGCCTGGAACTCCGTGTGTCCACTCGTTATCAAACTCAAGACATTCTACTGCTTCTCTGTACGACTAGGTAAACCAGACCACGGTTAACAGATACTGAACCGATCTACATGAAGTATAAACTAGACCATGAACCATCCTTTTACTTATTTTGTATTTTTTTTCCGTGTTCAGAGAAGGCGCTGTACAGCCTGCTGACCTGCCTCACCTGTCCGCCGTACACGCCCATGCAGCACCTGGAGAAGGAGCAGGCTCTGGCCAAACAGTTCGCAGAGATCCTCCACTTCACGCTCAGATTTGATGAACTCAAGGTAAACTGCACATTTTGCACCACCTCTAAAAATAAGATTGCTTTGTAAATAGGCCTATCATGATAATTACTATATCAAATTATCTTTCTTTATAAAAGCTGGAACAGTATTTTTGGGATCAGTATTTATCATATGTACATTTTCTTTGCATTACGGGGAATTTTTATGTTATTTTTGGCTCTATAATAAGATTTAAGCTGTAAAATGTTGAATTAATTAAACAACTATTGTAGATTTAGAAGAGTTTTTGTGGTTTAAATCTGTGGTTTAAATCTATTATTATCGTTTATCGTCTAGAATTTATTCAGCAATACATCACACTTCAAAATTTGCTATTGCGATAAGCCTATTTGTAAATTGGTTCTCTAACACTGTGCCTGGTTAATTAAAGGTTTTATTGCTAATAAGTCTCTTTATTGTGGTTTATAGGGTCAAGTCTCAACATGTATTAATTGGCTCCTTATTTTTGTACATGTTAGTAAATGTTAACACTCACTTTTAACAGCTTGATTTGTCTGGAAGCACTTACTTTAATCCTGTATTTTGCTGCCTCCTACTGGACTAGCACAGCATAACAGGAATTACAAAAAATAAACTGTATGTAAACATTTATTTATTGAAGTGTACACAGTAAGATTTGAACAAACCTTTTAGAAAATTTACTCTGTAACACGGTTTAAAAATTCATCTGTGTTCCAGATGCGAATTCCTGCCATCCAGAACGACTTCAGTTACTACAGACGAACCATCAGTCGAAACAGGATAAATAACATGAATGTAAGGACTGTGTATTTGACACCATATTTGGATTTCTTAATGTTATTTTCCTTGCTTTTTGTGATTTTTAATCTTAGATTTTATCAATTTAACTGTACACATATAAACATTGCCTTATGTTATCATACGGTTCATAATACTTCTTCCTGTTGACAGCTGGACATTGAAAGTGAAGTGAACAATGAGATGGCCAATCGGATGTCTCTGTTCTACGCTGAGGCTACACCCATGCTCAAAACACTCAGCACCGCTACCACCAACTTTGTCACAGAAGTGAGTACAGAGCAGGGCCATTATACTGTTTCAATGAAAAAAAAATATTCACTGAGCACCATTTACCAGATACCTGTCTGATGTTGTTTGAACAAAGAACAAAGAAAACCAATGGCTCATAACTCTAAATTGTTAAAAAGTCTGCCTCATATTTAAAGTTAAAGTTTGTCACAATAAAAAAGACAATAATAGAGCCAATTTTAACTTTTTTGATATGTTATAAAAAAGAGCTGTCTTAAAAACAAAACATTTACAATTAATTAAATGTATTTAAATATTTGTTGGAACTGCAATGTTCTGCAAAGATGATAGGTTGTGTGTTTCAATTAAAATTAGATGTCTGAACTAGGTGGTTTGGTTTGTGGTTATAATTTTAATTGTGAGGGTTTTTTTCCTCTATATTTTGAGTTGTTTTCAAGATTTAGTTCAAATATATTTATTGAGTGAATATTTTTGTTTTGTAGAACAAGACACTCCCTCTGGAGAACACAACAGACTGCCTCAGCACTATGGCCAGTGTCTGTAAGGTCATGTTGGAGACACCGTGAGTACACTCATATTTCACACTTTGATTTACAATTCTGTCATTTTCTGCCTCAAATATCTAAAACATGTGACTGACATGAAAATTTAATCCTAAAGCAAATTATAATTCCCATGTAGCAGCAGATTGGTTTGGGATTGTTTACATATTTATATTTCATTGTCTGATTGCAGTGAATACTCGTCCCGGTTCAGCAGTGAGGACACGCTCCTGTTCTGTATGAGGGTCATGGTGGGGGTCATAATTCTCTATGATCATGTCCATCCCAACGGAGCGTTCAACAAACTCTCAAAGATCGACGTAAGCCCAGGACATAATGTTTAAAACGTTATTTGCTCTGTTTTAATTGATTTTAATGTAATAACTCTCTTTGCAGATGAAGGGCTGTATAAAGGTCCTGAAGGAGCAGCCTATAGACAATGTAGAAGGTCTTCTCAATGCCCTCAAGTATGTTCACTTTCTTTAGTTTGGTTGGTCACAGTCTTGGAATAGTGTATCTATTGAGAGCAATTTCACCCCTATTTCTGTAATCTTATTCTTTTCTTTTTACATACAAAATAAAATCAACAAGTTGCATCATATCCCAGCAGTTAGATATTACTAATAGTTGTACTATTCGAATGAAGAATATTCTTTAGCTGCATGTTTTACCATAGATTTATCTGCCCTCCATCTGAATTTTAAAGAGTAGTTACTTATGTTGACTCATAAATGCAGCTCATTGGTTGGCAATTTAGCTTGCTTTATTGGCCATTCAGCAAAAATGTATAGTAGTGAATATGAATTGTCTCTATTAAACTGGAGACAAAAGTACCCAATCAGTCCAATTTCTCTTATGTTGAACTATGGTAATAATTCCTCTTTCTAGTGCTGTGTGTGTGCTGTGACCAAACCAGTATGGCTTCTACGCAAACTAAAATGGCAATATGTTGATAATAATGGTGATTTTCTTTCCCTTTATATCTTCCTGCAAATACGTTTTGAAATAGCATTCACTTTTTTCCTCAGGTTCACCACGAAGCACCTGAACGATGAGTCCACTCCCAAAAACATCCGGGCCATGCTCCAGTAGTATCTGCCCCCTCTGCTTTTTTTACTGTCTGTAAATGGATTTGAAGAGGATTCGTGAGACCTCAGTATGATGTATATGTTTACATTATTTAAAGATGTTAATATGTGTGGATCAGTCATTCCCTCCAACTTCTTCACTTTCTTTGGACTTTCTGAAAAAATACAAACCTGAACGGCCTTTTACTGTTGAACTGTTGAAGCACAAATGGACACCAGTCAGCCTTATGCTACCAGTCTGTAAAAAATGCATATAGTCATTGGGCATATTATTAGGTACACCTCTTCTAATCTTTTGTTTACTAATATCAAATCTATGTGGCAGTTAAATTATTATTTTAGTATTAGTAGGCCTGGTTTAGTTTGATTATGTTTATGCACTGCTCAGCCCTGGATTTACACCTAGTTAAGATGTTATATGTCACTTTCTTTTTTGTGGATTTGGCACCTGCTTGTCTCCATGGTGATTATTGTTTTGCCTGGAATGTTCCACAGCATGGCATTAAACTTGTTATTTCTGCATGTATTCAAAAGCTGTTTTTATTGCTCAAAACACCTTGAAAAACATGCATTCTTATTACTGTGAGCAGGCTCGCATCTCCACACATCTGTTCTATAACTTGTTAAACCTTCCATGCAAAGCAACATGTTTTTATACTTTGCTGATGTTTGCATTTACAATCATTGGACGAGGTGTACCTTATAATATGTCCAACCTGAATCGATAATGAATTATTTCTGCCTTAGATCTCCTCAGTGTGATTTTACAGTATTCTCATTCGATGCATCAAAGGAAAATATGCTAAAATATATATTGGTTGCAGTAAAGGGCTATAATGCTTGTGTCATGGATATATGGTTATGACTTTTTATTGTTCAGCAATCAACCCCCATCCACTGTGAACACAAAGCTTTGAATGAAGAGGTGAATGATGAATTTATATTTCCCTATACAGTTTTATTTAATCGTTCTGTGCTCTGATTGGTTGGTTGTGTTATGTTTTAAGTAGCTTTCTAAACCTGTCCAGTTTTGTATGAAATGTTCTCTAAAAAACAACCAAAAATATTCAAAATAAATTACTTTTTAACAGTGAATATCTGGAGTTTTTATACATTTATACATGAAGTAATGCAATAGCAATACACTCTAGCGAAACATTTTTAACCCATCTGTGTTTGACCCATCATTTACTGTAATTCCAACGGGAAAATCAGGCTTTGCCCACTGCGCACGTTGGTGATCAGGAGCACCTAGCTTGTAATTATAAGTATCAAAAAAGTTCAGTACTCGATGCTCATTTAGTGGTACATACAAAGAATGAGTGAAAGAATAAAAAGCGGTTAGATACTGTACTTAAAGCAGCATCACACTGGAGGATTGGCCATTGTGCATGTATTAGGCTAATGGGTTCCTCAGACATGCATGAATGAAACCATACAAAACCCATGTACTGTGTAACTTTTTAGGTAAAGGGTTTGCCACTTGCCTTTTATATTGCTTTGCCTAGAATGTTCCATAGTATACATTACAGTACACATTAACAGTGGACATTAAACTTAAATCTTACATTTACAGGTGTATTTTTTGGTCAAGTAAAAAAAAAAAAAAATGCATCCATATGGTTAGCTGGGTAACATCTCCACAGATCAATCTTGTAACTTGACCTGGTGTTGTTATTTGCGTTACCATGGAAATAGATATGTTTAATGTCATATTGTGGAACATACCAGACAAACATCTAACATGGAGACAAGCTGGTGGTGGACCCTACGCCACAAAAGTTAAACAGTGCACATTTAATATATTGAATTCTCAAAATAACTGAGAAAAAATAATAATATATTTTAGTCTGTTTAACAAAGCTACACACAGTTCCTTCATTGCAATTTGCCCCCCTTTTTTGCCTTTTTAACTATTGCCTAGTCTAGCATCATCGAACAAAGTACAGTATTTTATTAAATCTATAAATTTACATTCCCAACAAACAGCAGTTAGTCCAACCATGACACTTCAATTTATTGTTTTTCTAAATTGTGGAGCAACAGCTGTTACAATTCCTGCTCTCAACAAACTATTTGTGTATTTACAGTATTTTCACAAATAATAATTGTATTCAGTGGTGTTTATGTGTTATTTACATATTCAGTACAAGTGTGTGTTTTATTTTGGAAAGCGTTGTGTATATATGACATAAGAGGAGGATTTCAAAATAAAAGTTCTGCCCTGAAGGATGTACACAACAACAAATGTGTTAACTGTAATTATTCTGTCTGGTATTCTGCCCTGATGCACTGGTTTTGTAAACGGCTTTGTATTGAATGGGACATGTGTGGATTTGAAAATAAAGATCATTTTGTATTCAAACCACTTTATTTTAATTTTTTTCTCCATATTACAAAATTATTTAAATGACATTCTTGGGACTATAAAGTGTGCTTTAAAAAATACAGTCAGAAAGACGAGATAGAGAAGGTTTGGACAAATGTGAGATCTCAGCTGCTCTCAACTTGGCTGTAGTTCCTGTAATTCCTTAAAAAGGGGCGTCACAGCTCTGTGTTCAATGAACTCACAGTCCAAGGCTGAATGAAATCCAATAATGGTGTACCTGAAATACAAAAAGTGATGAAAACAGGAATATCGTTGACAAAGTGTAGCAGAATATTATTATTATAGGTTCACTTAAAATTCTGAGACATAGATATTTTTGAGAGAAACAATATGTAATAATCATTGCCAAAAACTGACAGCCTGTTGAATCAATATTTTTGATATATTTATACATAGTCATGATATTAAATTAAAACATTCTTTAAGCGTCTATGTTTTTTCGGAGTACACTGTAATTCTCCCTCCAGCCTGTGGGGGGTGGTACTCACTGGGGATGCTGCGGTGTGATCTCTGGGCCGTCCGTAGTCCCTGCACGCTCATTCGAGGTACAGAGGACCTGACGGGACCTGGACGGACCCCTGCATTAAACTGGGACTCCCTCAGCAGCTTCTTCACTGATTCCTCTATGCTGTGAATCCTGGGCTCTGATTGGTCCAGAGGAATCAGAGGAGATGGAGGCAGTCTGCAATTGGATGACAGGAACATCTGCACAAGAAAAAGGGGATATTTTTGTCCCTTAGTTTTCATAAGGCAAACAATTAATCTTAGTAAGATGTTACATAAGAGAACCTTTGTCCCATGAGGAAATTACAGTGTTGAAATGAAGAATACTAACCTGATTCATCAGCAGGTTTCAGCTCGTGGAAATCGTTTGAGCTCGCAACATTAGAATTCGTTCGCTCGATGGTAGGTGGATACTTTTTTTTCATCAATCGCTGCTATTTGGTCGTGACGTATGTAATGAGGCACTAACTGGGCTAACTGGTATATTAAGCTTTTCCCAAATCCTGTAGGAAGAAGGGCAATAATGTCTTTCCCCTTAATAAAATTCACCAAACATTCTGTGTGTTAAGTCCTTGATCTCAGGAATTGTTGTCAACACAGAATGTATGGCCCTTTGCTGATTGGCTGGTGCCCGAACTTGCACTTCAGGGGTTTTTGCAAACCATCTAGTAGTGTATTCCGATTCCTGACCTAGTTGCTGGAGAGAAATGAAATTCAGCAGAGGCAGTAGGTGGCACCAGCCTGGCTAGAAGAATAAAAAATAGCAGGAAAATAGAAACATGCTATCAAAAATCAAGATAAGTAACTATTAAAATACATTTTGATCTAACCACTATAATTAGAATATTAGAAATACTTTAAATAGAGTCAAGATATAAAAAGGTGTACAGACACAACAATGCGTGCTGTGACACAACCCATGTGCTATCCTGCAGAGTAATTGGGGGAATTTCCTCCAAACATCAAAAGACATGAATCTAATAATTATATTTCACTGAGTGTGCATTCACACTTGCACACCATCCATCCATTTTCTTCCGCTTATATGGGGCTGGGTCGTGGGGGCAGCAGTCTGAGCAGGGTCTCCCAGACTTCCCTCTCCACACATACTTCCTCCAGCTCAAGGAGGTGCCCAGGAGACATCCTGAACAGATGCCCGAGCCACCTCAGCTGGCTCCTCTCGACGTGGAGGAGCAGCGGCTCTACTCCGAGTGACTGAGCTCTTCACCCTATCTCTAAGCCACCCTGCGGAGGAAACTCATTTCGTCCGCTTGTATCCACGATCTTGTCCTTTCAGTCATTAGGCCACAAGACACTAAACCTGGACTAGAACAGGACTAATTCAGGACTTGAACAAGACCAAACAAGTTTACACCAGGACTAAACTTAACTCAAACAAGGACAAAACAACTATGTGTGAATGCACCTTAAATTATCTACAGATCGGCTTGTGTTGTGTTTTCTAATGTAAGAAATGTTTCAGGTTTCAGTGATATAGACCAAAGCTGTCCAAACTATGGCCCGGAGGCTAAATACGACTGATACAGAATTGGCCTAAATGATTATAGGGCAGTACTTATTGCTGGAAATTTAAGAGTTTGTACAACTTTAACCTCAATAACAGCACAATGTATTGTTATACAGGCCTAAAATTAGTGTTTTAAAAGTATGGTTGCGCTGTAAAAACTATGTAAAATGCTTCCATCTGTCAGACTAGTAATTTAGACCACCAGCCTTCGCCCCTCCATTATAAATATGTTTCCGTATGTGGCTCTGGGTCCAAAAAGTTTGGACCTGATGTAGACAAATCAAATAGTAAAATGCGGTGTATTTATCCTGCAGATCCAGTAGTTGTCTCTGTGCATTCCCCTCTCTGTTTACTCTCCACATGTGTAAAGTGGTAATTACAGGACACTGATTACGATGATGGTTCAGAGCAGAGGGAGGCAGAGTTCATGCAGAGGACACAGTGGTATTAAATATTCTCAGAGAGGTTGGCCTGGCTTTGATCACGACGCACTAGGACGGTTTTGATGAGGGATGCAGTGATTAAAATTCTACTGGTTTTACTATGTGATCAAATATTCATTTATTTTTTTACTATGGTAATGTTAGAAATTGGAGATTTTAACTGCCAAGCTGTCATCACACAATTTTATACATGTTTTGACACATTTTAATGCTATAATCACAAATATATTTATGGTGATAGAGAAATTATGTTTTTATGTTAAAGCAGAAATTATTATTCTTAGCTTTAGTGTATTTCACAGTTTAATGGCCACTGTATTAGGCCCTTAAAAAGTACAGGATCATGCAAACAAACAATTTAATGATATGTTTTACCAGAGATTTGGCTTTGCGCAGTTTGTAATGGGCATCGGTCAGTGTTTTGTTTCTGAGCTCTGGTTTGGAGGAGGAGAGAGGAGCAGAGGTGGAACTGTTGCACTTTGAAGCTGGTCTTTGAGTTTTCCTGCAAAGAAACTGTTGTAAATAAAGTGAAACAGTATGATACAGGAAATATTGGTATTGATATAAATACAGGTCCAATAGCCCATGGCACCGCCAACAGTAAGTACTGTAGTATTTTAAATGAAATCATTTGCAATTTGATTAAAAAAGGAACAATTAATACATAGTAGAGGTTAAGATACCAACTGCAATTTTTCTGACAAGCTGTGTGATTAGATATTATGTTTTAATAATTCGATTCAAAGTTCACATTTTAAACATGTCCAGAAGAACTTACAAAAAGCTTAAATATGTAGGTAAACTAATACTAGAATCACATTTCAGAACATGTTCGCACAGATCTAAACTGCAGAGTTCACTGTATTATGCAGAATAAGACAGGCTATTTTGTTGTTTTGTGGAAAATATGGTACAGCAAAGATGGCAGTCTTTGCAATTTGCTAATTGCATTGATTCAAATTGCAATTTTGATTTGTTTGTGTTTAATCTCGCAGGCCTTCTGGGTACCTTCATGCAGGTAGTTAATATTAGTTCTTGTGGTTTCCTCAGTGACACATTTATTAGACACAGACTTAGACAAAATTTATTGATCCACAAGGGAAATTTCTTGGACACAGTAGTTCATTTCACAATATATTATAATAATAAATAACATAATTTAACTTCCTTGTTCACTTACACTGTCCAAGCTTCATCCACAGAGTGCGAGTTGTCCAGGTAGTTGAACCGTACAATGTCTCTGGGTCTGCGGTCTGTGTCTCTCCACGGTGGCAGACACAGAGACGTCCTATTGGTTTGTTTTTGTTTTTTTGTGGAGCTGTTGTTGGACTCTGGACGAGGTTCACTGAGAAGAGCATCTTCTAAACACAGTTCTTGATGAGGACTGTCGGCTGTGGGCAGGTCTGTGCTCTGCTGCTGCTGCTGCTGCTGCTGCTGCTGCGGGGTCCAGAACGGAGAGGATACACAAAAATGAGATGGGTAATAGACAGTTATATTTACTATTTACTCTACTGTGGTTTAAAACAATATTAATATTTTTGCACAATTTTAGTTGTCATCCCACAAAAACAACTGTATGTATACAAGAGAAAAATTCAATTTCTGTGCTGTACTGAAGGCTCTTATTGCTAGCTCAGTCCTTGTTATCTTGGCCAACGTCATGTCTTCATGTCTCCAGGTGCTGGGTCCATACGGATGGTAAAAAAGAACTTCGAATCAACTCTCGGGCTACTACTAGACTGTCAAGTGATCAGGAGTGAGATCGGGACCAGACAGGGACTGACACCAGGACTGAGACCGGGAATAGACCAGGACCAGACCGGGACTGAGAACAAGACCAGACTAGGACTGAGACTAGTTAAGTCCTATTTTAGTCCTGGTTCTGTCCGTATGCAGCGCAAAAGTCCATCGTTATCTGTTTTTTCCATAATTCATTTAAACACAAAAAACTGAAAAAAAATAATCGTTATCCATTTCTTTCACTTTGGTTTTGCAGACAAATAATGAAGAAAACTATAGTTTTTTCATTTTCTTATTTTTGATTTCATATTGAAAAACTAACAAAGAACAAATATACATGATTACTAACCACAAAATAATGCATGTTTAAAATTACTAACTTTAACTTTCAGATATTTCAGTTAAACACAGTCTACAAACCTGCACGGCTGCGCTCCGGAGCCTCTGTACAGTGGAGATGTAGTGTCTCTTCCACACACTCACTTCAAACTGAATTGGGCTGTAGTCCAGAAACCAGCCTCTCCTCAAACACTTCACCATCCACAGCTGGTCCAGGTCCACGATGTTCTTCCACTGCCAGCTCACCTAAACATACAAATATTTATATAGTTTGCAATTAAGCCACAAAATGAAAAACAGATTAAAGATTGCCTATCCATGGGTATTGAATATTCTTAAGCTATAACCTATAAACAGAAATGAATGTACAAACATATTTGAAAATAAGCCTCAAGCTACTCAAGTACTGACCCACTAATTTGTTAATGTTTTAGTAGTAATCAGACAAATAATAATGCTTCTGATTTAATATGTTCATACTGGTATTCATAATTAATAAACAACATAAAAGGGGAAATTATATAACTTATTTCAAAATCAAGCAGAGCATAGGTTTTGTGTGATAAAAGTACTTGGATAAACTAATTTGAATGTGTACCTGTGCGCAGCGACAGAGACTGCGGGGATCCAGGAAAGAGAAGATGTAGAGGCTGAGGGCGCGGGGCAGCATGCAGGTGAAATCTGCGGCCTGTAGGGGGAGCCGTCTGCTCACAGTGAAACTGAGGAGCATCAGCTGGTCTAAAGAACAGCTCTGAATCAGGTCCTGGAGGATTGTCTTCTTCTGACTCTCTGTCCACATGGAAAACTGTGAACAAGAACAATTTAAAAACGTTAAATTAGACAATTCACACAAAAAAGGTATTTAGAACACTTACCCATTTTGCCAAAAGGACACGTCTCTCTTCAAAAAGCTGGATGTAAGGAAGAAAACACAAAAGTCACAAAATATCACAAAAAAGAATTGCTTTAAGATTGTCCATGTATTTACATTTGGCTTGGATGAAAAAAAAGGTTAAGAGGCTAAAGTTATGGGTAGCTGTACTGTAGTTTCACCCCTAGATTTTACACAATCCGTGTAGAAAGACTACTCAGCTGAATTTGACTGATCTAATGCATGGGGTGATTGTCAGGAGCAGGGGGCAAACTGGGCAGCCAAGGGTCCTTCTCCTTCTCTGATAGGAGTACAGAGATGGAAGATTTAGTCTTTTGTGTCTGCATGATGAATACAGTAAGAGCTACATTTTCCACATGCATAGCTACTCCAGTCTTTCCTATTATAATCCTAATTTTCTGATTGTATTTGTAATGTGTTAAAATTAACCTACAGTGGATATAAAGTAAGGTAAGCACCTAAAATAATATAATACAACTTGGGATTGTAGAAGTCTACATAACTCATGAAACTGTGTAAGCTCACGTTGAAATGAAAACTTCTTGTGCTTTGTTGGATCTAGGCCAGAATGTTCCTAACAACTTCCTGAGTATAAAGATAAACTAACATCTGATAAGGCTTTGAAAGGACCCACTTTTCACCACATTAAACATTTTTCTACAACTCTGTGACCTCATCTCTGATTGGTCAACTGAATTTATCCTCTCTTGGTACCTGGCTGTTGGAAGGTGCGTGGTTCAGGGGGGTCCAGGCGCTCCTCTTGGTCTGCAGTTTGGCACTGTTTATGGAAGTCTTTGGAGCATGTGGCATGTTTCTGTACAACCTATAGTTCAAAACATTTTTGTGTAATTGAATACATAAACATTTCTACTGTTTAACTTTCCTTAAAGGGAAAGTACATCATCTTTTTTTTCAAGGCTGAAAGGAAAGCCTGGAAGAATCTAACTTCGGCAAAGTAAAATGTCGTGGACAAAGCGATGTCTTTATGTCTTAAGATTTTGTATTTAAGTTTTCTTTCTTTTGGAAAGGTCATCTTTTTTTTCAACGTTTGATAACAAGATGAAGATATAAAAGTAAAAGTACATCATTAATAATTACCAATATTAGGATTTTTACATCTTTTTTGGTCATTCAACTGCTCTTTTTCACCAAGAGTTATATGGAGCTCAACAGTGACCACTTGCTCCAGTTCTGAAAGTACATTTCCCATTGATTTTTCTCATAGACTTTTCGGAAAAAAAAAAAAAAAAAATTTTAAAAACTCAGACACACTTTATTGAACTACAAAGGAAATTACTTGAAAAGTACATTTTAAGTTCACGGTTCTGTGAAATGCAATGTGTGAAATGAAATTTATAACGTTTCAGAAAACTTTAAGTAGAATTATAGCATTTTTTTTTTCATGTTTGGAAAGTCTCTGGGAAAAAATATTTTTAAAAAAAATGTTGAACTAGTTGTTGGTTGGTCACTGTTAAACTCCATCGTGATCTGACAGTATTTTTCACTGAATGCCCGTCCTGGACTGGAGTGACCAATAAAGGAAATAATATCTATATCTTCTGGCTGTGACGTGAGGATGCTGGGCTCTCTATGAATTGTACCAATACTTTCACAAATAATTATTTACCGTACCAATCAATTCAAATATCTTTAGCATAAAAGGGGACATGATGTATCGAGCTCTATAATTGAACAAACTTTACACAACACACTGAGAAGCCAGCACTAAACTTAGCAGACACATTCGTCCCCTGTTGTAGAGGCTGTATCTGGGACAGTCCAACACACGTCAGAGGTATTCAACTCACCATTAGTTGTCCTGGAGCAGACAGAATAAATCCACTGTGTCCTTGTGCATTCCCTGAAGGTTTTGTCTCTTAAGTCTTTTCCATTATCTCCCAATGCACTGTGTATGTGTGTGTGTGTCCTAATGTAGAGTTTACCTGTGGCCATGGAAACGAGAGGCAGAGGGAGGGGTGATGGGTGCTGTCACATGCAGGAGAGGAAAAGAGAGGGAGGGAGGAGGGAAGGGAGAGAAGGAAAGAAGTGGAAGTTGGAAGGAATGAAGAGAGAGAGTTAAGATGCAGGGGAAAAGACTATAAAAAGAGAGAGCAAGAATGGAGGAAGGGGGAGAGAGACAGAGAGAGGAGGAACAAGACAAAAAAAATATAAGAGCAGGGAGAGTGAGGGAGGGAGAGAGCTGGGAAAAAGCTAGAAAAGCTCGAGGGAGAAGAGAACAGTGGGAGGGAGGAAGAGAGAAAGAGAGAGAGAGAGGAGAGACAGAGAGAGGGGAGGCAAGTGCAGGCATCAGTGGCTAATGATGACAAATGTAGTGCACGAGGTCTGACTCTGCAAATGCCCAGGACACAGCAGGCCTCTGGCTCCTGCCTAAAATGAAATGGGAATAACATTAGATAGCAACTATAATCCATTTTTTTGCTCTTTGATAATGTTTAAAGATTTGTTAAAAGGTTTTGCATGACAAAACAGAACTTACAACAGAAAATGTATGTAAAACTAAATCAAAAAGTTTAAATGAATTTGTCCTCTTAAGCATGTTTGTGTTACTAAAAATCATGGGTCTTAGATGTGGTTCATAGATTTTAATGCATTTGGTCTGGCTACTGATGTTGCAATGACATTTTACATCTTTTTACATTGATTTTATGAGAACATCGTCAATATGATCTAATTAGATTAAAGTGAAAACAAAAAGGTTTTCAGTCAAACTCTGACATTTTAGTAAAGCCAAATTAGTCAGAGAGTGGTAGCCTTTCTGGTCAAATAAACACACTGGACTGGCAGGTTTTTCCGGCCGTAATCCGTCTGTTGTGCGGCTGTATAAGAGCTTTTTCGGCCTATTTCGGAGGCAGCCGTCTGAAAGTCTCACCCAGCAGGCGCAGAAGTTCCCATTCAAAGCGCTGAAAGCCTGCTCCTCGGCTTCGGATGGGCGGTCGCGCTCAACACACTAAAAACCTGCTGTGAAGAGACAGGGAGGGACGTCAAATTACACGCACACTCCGCCGGAAATATGGATAGTCTTGTTTCAAAATAAAAGCACTGGAAAGTCTGACAAAACAAAACAAAAATGGCATATAAGAGTTGCTTGTACCTTATTTTATTGACTAAAAATGTTTATCTTATCGCCTGTAGACAAGTGTTTCTTAAATTTTTCACATTAAGTACCAAGATAATATTTTAGTTTTTTTTTTAAATATTACCACACATTCTACAGTAGGGGTGTGCAAAAATATTGAAATATTAATATATCGTATCGTTTAATGTGATGACACAGTATCGATATTGTGGGCTGCTGTATCGATATATTGCCAAGAGTATTTGTTGGTATATTTTACAAAATTATTTTGGTACAGCGCTACAGTTTTGTTGCTTATTTAAAGGAAGGAAACTCATATATGTGACACATTATGTTCACTGTTTTGATGGGTAAAATGTTTGTGTTTCATATTAACTTTGCATAAGAAGTGGTAAAGGCTTTTAGTATCACAGTCATGATTTAGACATTATTTTTATTGAACTGTATCAAATCGATTTGAAATATATCATATCGAATCAAAAGTGCACTGTATCGAGGCCTATGGTTTGAGATACATATCATATCGGCAACTTCTTAATGATACCTAGCCCTATTCTATACATTGCCTAAATTAGTTCTAAAAAGCATACAAATCAGACTGAGCCAACCAGGTCCAAAAAGAGACTAAACCATGCATAATGAAGTTCTAAATAGTAATTAAATTCAAAGAAAACCAAAAACACTCATAGATTAGTTTCTCAAACACCAGAGGACCACCACTGCACATGCACCACAGTTTGGGAATCACTGTTATAGACCAAATGGTAGCATTCTGAAGCTGCAGATGCTATTTTGCAGTAGTTTTTCACCGAATTGCCCATGGAACAACTGACAAACAGATTAAGTGGCTGAATGGAGAACATAATGCTATCAGTTTATCTAGACCTAATTAGCAAAGACACTCCTAAACAATAAACACAAGAGCCTGCTGTAGCCCAGAGGCCATACAGAGGTGTTATGTGAATGGTTTAATTGTCTCAGGTATTAGAGGCCCTGATATGCAAGTCTAATTACAATTTATCCGTCTCAATAAATACATAACAACAAACATCCATTAAAAAGTAAATGACATACTTGAGGGATAACATTACAGTTGTCTATGTGTCTCAGTCAAAAGTTTCAATGCAGTTTAACAGTAGGACTGGTCTGATACAGGATAATACACAGCAAATTCAAGAGTGTTAATTCAACTTGAATATTGTTAATTTTAAATTTTTTACCATGTCTTATGGGGTCCACAATAAAATGAGTTAAAACTACACTTTTCAAATTGTAGAAGGCTCAACACTGGTAAAGTGATGCAACCACACTCCTCATAGTTGAATTTGACACTGTTTTTTTTCTACACGAGTGTATAGTGAAAAACTAATAACGCTATATTGCTATGTTTTAACACTTTATGAAATAGAAATATTGTAGAGTGTTCTTCATGTTGCACTATTCAATAGTAACTTTTTCTTGTCTTGAGCCTTCATCTTTCCACTGTAGCCTTTAGGAGCTGGGGATGCATGTGAACCAACAGAGTGAACTCACCCTAAAGAAAATACAAAAAAAGAATGTATTATTACTCTTTTTGACTAAAGTTCAAAAGCATGTTAAGACATTGTATTGGGTAAGACATCTTACTTGAAGATATTTTATTTTTACAGAATACTACTAACCTTTTGATTCAAATAATTTTAATAATTCTCCACTTGACACAATATCCTACGTCAACACACCACACAAAAGTGTGCACGTTTATAAGCTATTATTAAAAGAAATGTGAATACAGTGAATGAAAGCCCCAACGTGTAAAAAACACTGTGAAAACTCGAAAGACCTAAGCTAACGAATGCTAACCATGGATCTGCCTTTCACTTCGGTATAGACCGTGTCGCGGCCATTACATTTTCGTTTGGAAATAGGGAATCAGTACCGGGTGCAGGCTGAGATAGGGTCGTGTGAGGGCGTTTGATCCGCTGTTTGCGGTCTCCTCGAGACGGAGCAGAGGCAGAGCGGGACTCACCTGGTTTAGGCGTATGCAGGTGTCGGGTTAGACCTGGTCAAATGCGGGTTTAATCCTTGTTTAGAGACGATTCCGCCTCTTCTGGTGCCCAGTCCACTCCAGGCTACGGAGCGTATATCTCGTCCCCGCTGCCCGTGATGTACAGCCTGCAGAAACACTGGGCACCGACAGCTCCCCTCAGAGACTCAGCTGCAGTGTAGCCGCTGAGAGTCTCTCCAGTCCCGCTTAAAGGCAGTGCGCCGCTGCGCCATAACCCAGTCCGGAAAGTGAAGATCATAGGGACACTTGTCACGGGCTTTGAGGGCTGCTCCACGACAAAGACACGGACAAAAAGCAAATAGATTTTTGGCTTACAACAAAGTGTTACGACTTTGAATTTCCCATTTCAAGACGAAAATCGAATGCAATGTGAATGTACATCAATGTCTGTCGCGCAATCTCTGTAAATCCTGTGTCAGGTCTGTTTGGGCAGTCTGTGTCCTGCAGCACAGTCCGGGGGGAACCAGGTAAACACAACTGGAAAAGCCTCGTTCTTACCACTGTGGTTTTTCGTTGGTGATAAAATGGTTTATTCCCTCAAAGTGTTTTCTCTAGAAAGTCTTCTGCCACATTTGCTGCCACATATGGTGTAAAAAGCCTGTAAAATCGCTCAATGTCCATAACCGCCAACAGTTCATTTCACACAAGCCGACAATCCCTTACTTGTGTCCTCTGAACTGCACATGCTGCACTTCTTATGGTTGGTTAAAATCCCATGATATGTTAAAAACTGAGCTCAAAAAACAAAGTGTAAAAAACTGCTGTGTGTGAGCCAGGTAGCCACAAAAACAGCCAATCACTCCATTGTCATGAGAGAGCCTTTTATTAAAAAAATAAAATTAAGGACGAAATCTGTTATTTTTTCTTCTGCTTTATATATGACTTACTGTTTATCGATATAGTTTGAAAGTATTTAGCGGAAGTCTTGACAAAAGCGCTGACTTGATGCAGACCAGAGCCGGGTGGAGATGGAGGAGGGGTCCGGAGGAGAGCGGCCGATCCGCGGGAGGAGGCGAGGGACATTCACTCATTGTTATCAACTCGCGCTGCTGCGGAGATCTCTGTGCTACACGTGAATTTTCCTTAAAACATCCAGGTAAGATTATGTTTATTCTTTTGTCTTTTATCTCCGCTTGTGGCTATGTAATTACAACCGGTGAGCCTCCATCGCTACACCGACTCGCCGTGCTCTTTACACCGGTAACAGCGCTCATTCCCCGGCTACGTATGCCACGCTCACCATCAGTCAGGATGGAAGAACCGTCATCTTTTGTTTCTGACGCCCTGCTTGTTGCCCGTATCATTAATTACACATTGCTTGATCATTAAAAACTTACAGCAATTAGGAGACCCGAAACCCCGCCACAGCACATGTGTTTTAAAGGTAGAATCGCTTATTTCATTGGGAATTTAATTGAATTGGCTGCTCGGAAGTATAGGAGGAGCCCCCGTTCAAATGTATGGGAGGAACAGGTATGCTAACAGCGAGGCGAAATTAGCGGTCAGTATTAAACACTATTTGTTTTGGTTGAATATTATTATGAAATAGATACAGGGGTGTATAGAAAAGCAGTATGCAAATTCTATATGAAAATGCATGGCTAGGTTTGGCGTGTCATTGAAGGACATCCGCTGCTCCGTGGTCGTAGGGTGTAGCCTGCTGCTGTTGTGATGGAAACTGACATGAACACGCTGTTATTGCTATCTTAAACCACATGACATGCATTAAAAATGATTGTTAACTGTAAAATCGTTAAATAATAAGTCTTTTCAATATTTTAATTACTGCTTATTATAATAATTCACATATCTTAAACCAGTGTAGCATTTTAATAGTTTGAAATTTAACTAATCAGTGTGAATTAAGATATGGTTTTTCGGAAGTAAAAGAAAATGCTGGTTGATGAGATACAAAAATATATTTTATGTTCAAGTTCTCTATCAAAGAATTATGTTTTCCATCCAGCTTTATTTTTGTTGTCTACTTGAAATCTACTTGATCTAACAGCTTCACTTTGATTCAGTTTTTCGGGCTATTATTCACTTAAGTGTTTAACCAAATGTGGGATTCTGTGAATGTATCTAATTGCATTGTTCAGAGTTTTATTTTTTACCAAAATAATATTGCTAATTCCACCAAAGCTAATAAATATAAGTTGCTGAATAAGACATAAATATTGTGTTGTTTTCACAGTGGGGTTGACCATTGTCCCTGTCAGACTCTCATCATTGATCTGAGCCCGGTGTCAGCGCAGGGTGGAGTAGCTGCAGTGTCTCTCGTGTGATGGAGTTTTTCTGACAAAGCCATGGATGCTGTCGATATGAACCATGGCAATACAAAACCTCACATTTCAACGCAGACTGCTTCTATGTGAACGGAAGAAACCACTGGATACTCCTTAATATTTCCTCCCAGCGGCAAACCAGGATCTATTAGCGTAAGGACCAGGCATCATGGGTCTCCTTTGGGTGCTGTCCGTCTCCATGCTGGCCGCCTGTGTGGCCATTCCCATGGACGCGGCCGCGGGAAGCCACAGCCTCTTCACCTGTGAACCAATCACCCTCCGCATGTGCCAGGGTCTGCCTTACAACGCTACCTTCATGCCCAACATCCTCAACCACTACGACCAGCAAACAGCCGCTCTCGCCATGGAGGTACAGTGCTTTTTACACAGTGCATATGGTGTTCAAATTATGTTAATTTCCTCATAGACAAAATATTTGTTTGGGTTAGGCTTATAATTAAGATTTGAATTAACCTAAAAAGATTTGCTATATCTGTCTTCACTCTTTGATTTCCAATGAACTAGCACAAGAATGACTTTCACCCTTTATTTAACCAATATTAATTAAAATATTTACCAAATTTTTTTTGTAGATAAGTAAGTACCTGCTGTTTTCTGTCAAGGATTAACTCAAGATTAACACACCTTTGAAAGTACCTTTTGCTTTCTATGTTTGTATAGAACTGATGAACACTTTGGCCCAATACTTCTTGTTAATGTAACAGTTATAGCTATTACCAGTGATTTAATACTATACGTACCTCATACAAATAGCTTTAAATGCATGTAGCTGAACTCCAAGTCCCTTACTCAAAATTAATATTTATTAATTTATTATAGAATTTTGCATTTTTTAGATACACCTTTTCTCATTGTCTGTTTGGGTATCCCACTTGAACATTGCCCTTGACGCATACCTAATTGTCAAGCGCTGAGGTCAAAAATGTTTTATTAATGTTCCTTCTCCAATCAGTCTCTTATCACACATTGTATCTCTCATTGGAAAGGCTTTATATTCGATTTGTATGGAGGATATTAAACAGTTAACCAGGGCCGAAGGCATTTGACTATTATTCATGGATTATAAAATGATGGATGTTAAGATTACATCAGTACGGAGAAGATAAATGGGGAATGGCTATTTTCAACAGTCAGATTTCACAACTTAATATAATAATTTTTCATGGCCATATTGTTAAATTTCTATACAGGAAAGGGCATTTGACAGAACAGTGAATAGGCATTTTTCCATTTGCGTCCTAGCACAAAGCACAGTCTTACAGGGCATCTGTATTTTAGAAGCAGGAAGTGTGTGGGAAGGTGCATGACCTCTCCAAAACAACAGTATTTTCCATTTTATTCATGTGGGCTGGCTTCAGCTAGAAGATTAATTAGTAGAGCTAATCTCCTAAAACAGAAAAGTTGTCAGGTGGAAAGTAAACCCACTGTACTGACATTGTTTACTACGGTTGTGTTTTTGGGCAAGGCAATGAATCAATTTTGCAAGTTTGAACCCTTTGCAATATGTTGTTTGGAATGGTCTTTACTATGTCTAATGTCTGATGTCCAAACAATCTGTGTTTAGCTTTAATATCTTACTGGAACTAAGTTGTAACCAAAAACTCGGTCACAACTAGTTCTTAAGCGTTTTGGGACAGTTGTTTTGACAATGGACGTGCCTCTTGACATATGACACTTTACTTTTACTTGAACTTGATCTGTAGTTTTCCTTTAGTCTTTTCTTCCATTTGTCATGAACACTACCTCCCACCAATACTACCACTACAAGTCTGAACACACTAACCTACTTTAATTGAACGTTTATGGCTTCGGGGCACAGGGAGTATTATCAAAAAATCAAGCCAAAAATTAAGTTTTAATATTTGTCCCTGAAGGCCCCGAGCTTTTTTAATAATTAAAACTGTTGTGTTGTCTCAAAGCTGTGGGGTGGGAAAAATTGTAATCTTGATTCGACGTTTTCTTGGTAACAATGATCAGATTGTATTTTCACAATAACTACGCTTAAACATGCCTGAACTGATTGAGGTATTGCCCTAATAGTGAAATGACAAAGAATAATTTTTTCACACTTGTTTTAAACATTTCACTGCAAGTTTCTGTTCTTTTTATTATTTTTATTTTCTGTTTTCTTATTACAGACAATATACAGTACACACCTAGATATTACTAATGTAGCTAGGGCTGTCACAATATAAAATTTGTGTGTTACAATTTTTGTATGAAGAAACATCACAGTACATTACAATCATTCATGATAATTTTCATCACTACTAAACAACATTGACTAAATAAGTAAATACAGGATTTTCATTATGTTTTATAGGTCACAGTTATAGTTTGCAACTAGCTTTATGAAACCCAACTTTATGAATGATAAACGAAACATGGAGTGACTTATTCTTGAGTATAAAATTCTAACGATTATATATTTTTAGTTCTTACGACTGTGACCTGAATAATCATGATTATATTAACCTTATCTCGGAAGTTGCCGTGGGCGCTTCCATCGTCATTCTGGTTGTAATATTTTGCATGGGGCTGCCGATCCTGACAAAAATGATTCTATATGGACAACAAAGCTGCTTTAAAGCCTTCAAGAGAATTTGTGCCGTATTGACTTGCTGGTCGTATGAACATTGAACATTTTCTACAAATCAACCTACTATATATCAGGTTTTAGCAGTGAAACTTTTCTTAAATTCTCTATTGAAATGAACTGGATTTGTGTTTAACTGGACGTTCCACCACAAAGAAAGTGTAGTTTAACAGCATTAAGAGACAAAAGTGGGTGAAGCTGAATAAGGTCCATATTAACTGAATATTCTGTTTTCAAAACAACAATTCAATTGTTCATCTCTAGTCCATGCTCCAGAGTCCTGCATCACAGCATTTTAGTCCATTTTACATAACAGGCTTCCAGACAGTGGCTAAACTGTAAAAGGAGATTACTGCTCTCTGTTGCTGGATTAGCGCTTGTGTTTGACTTAGTTTTATTGTTTGGATTCCTCAGATTATGCAGATTTCCAGTTGACAGTTAAAGCCGGGTTATCCTCTTTCAAATCTCCGACATTTAAACTCAATCTCGAAGCAGATGTATCACCTCGTTATCTTAAGCCGACTTCGAGCAATCATCGACCCGGCTCCCACCAAATGGCATCCTCTGCTCTGTTTACTGCTCGGAAATCTAAATTTATCCATGTTTATACTGTCGTGTAGTATCAAATTTCCACTATAACTTCCATCATCGGTCCCCTCCGGGGCTCCGACCTCACTCCACACAGGCCTGTCACAGTAGTATCTACTTTATCAGCATATCCTTCAATATATGACGGCAAGAACTAAACTTTTGTGTTTTGTGTTTATGTGTACCTTTGCTTTGCGTGAGTAGGACATTCTTTTCTTAGTTTTTGTAAAATTAAACATTTGATTGATAACATTTGAGCTGTGGTTACCGTGGTTAATTAACCTATAAGACACATTATAGATACAAGAACTAACTACTTAAGTGTTAAATTGTGCAATTTATTTATTTATTGTAACTTTTTTTTTTTTTACACTATGGTACACAAAAAGGTTTGCTGGAATTGTCCTGCTTCAGGTTATACACTGGTAGTAGTGGTGTAACAGTAGTAGTAGCAGTAGTAGCAGCAACAGCAGCAGCAGCAGTTTCAGCAATATTGTGTACTGTGATATTTATGTGTAGCGATATATTGTATTTCAGAATTTGTTTTTGTGACAGGGATAGCTCCACAGCCAGGCCCAGCAGCGGAGAGGGTACCAGCTGGTGACCCGTGCCATCGTACAGACACCGGAGGAGAGGCAAAGTGCCGTGTGCTGTGAAACTCTGGGATTATGTAACCTCTGAATATGCCCTGCCCAGATCAGGACAACAGCTGTGATACAGACACTAGTACCACACTCCTATGCTCATTCAATGCCCAATTTTGTTTAACGGTGAACCATGTAACTTTTCTGGTGGAGGGTCTGCCACCTGCTTGTCTCCATGGAGATGTTATTGCTTTGTCTGGAATGTTTCACACTGTAGTTATCCAGAACAGGTGTCACAACAGGCTCACAAGAATTCAGTCGTTCATTCATGCAAAATTTAGAGCATAGAATTGAAAAACACTTGAAAATGTAACTGCATTTCTTCAGGCTGACCCCAATTTCACATAGTTGTGCATTTTATGTTTTAAAATCATTATTTAAATAACAGTGTTGTTTTAAGACATTTCCACAAGCATCGACATTTAAAAGATGAAACTGAGCTATTAACGGCTAAGATAAGAAACTTATGCATTTGAGAAAATGTTTGTAGAGGTCTAACTACAGAGATATTCTTTACAGGTCTTACAAAATATATCTATCAAGACATTTGCTTGTAATGTCTCTTTAGATGTACCCCACTGTTAATAATTCAAAATATCCCAAAAGATTAGGGGTTAGTTTAAGTTCAGGGTTGTTTTTCTCCTCTCCTAATTAAGTGCTCATCGTTAAGGGAATTTTTAAAGAGGTACGGCACTCGTGTAGTATTTTATGTTCTAAACTTAATTAGGCAAAAACCTTTCGTACTTTTGGTAGTTAAATTTTTGTAATTGGTGTAATTGTTTTTTATAATTATATTGGTGTTTTGCTCTCAATTTTCAATTTAGGGAAGGCCATCTTTTTCCTCATGTGGATCAATCACAATTTTCATTTTGATTAGATTTTATTTAAATACACATTTACAATTTATTTAAAAACACATTTTGCCACTTAACTAAAAAATATGTCAGCTTTCTTCATAGTGTAAAATCTGGTCCAAACCCCATTGCCTGTAGACCCCCTCAGTTAAAATGACCCAAGCAAGTCACTGACAAAGAGTAAAGTAACACTAAATCTCAATTAAAATTCTATTAATTGCACATCTATAGGAGAATCTGTATTTTCTACAGTGTAGTTGTAACAGGTCCAGAGCTTTGTAGTTGTTGGTTTCCGGGCGTTTCATCCTTGTGTGGGTTCCGGTGCACAGCCTGGGCTCTCCTGTTTTTGACGGTGTTCACTTCCATTAGTCATGGCGCCACAATTAAGACTCTTTTAGCGTCTGCAATCGCTCATTGGGTTTTGGAAAACTCCTGGAAAAGGTTTCAACCAAACTGAAGAATGTGGCTCTGTTTGGCTGCTGTTTTCTGATCCACTTCATGGGAGAATTTAAAGCTTCTAAGATGTTGAAGGCGACCAAATGGGAATTGACAGTTGATTTGAAAGAGAATTAGCTGGAGTGAATGGCCATGATAATGATGATGAATGCCCCGCACCGTGGAGAAACTGGACTTGGACGAGTACCAGTGCCTGCCGTCTCGAAGTTTT